ATCGTCATTAACATCCCAACGACAATTACGAAGTTCAAAATCAAGAAAAAAAACACAACGAAATCATAATGAACCTGTAACATGTTTAATTTGTTCAATTCTTTCACAATTATCATCCGTTAATTGTTGTTCAGCACATATATCTCTGCTTAAAAATCATACTCATCATCGACAAAAATCATCACATTCTCATCAATTACCAGAACAAGTTATGATTATACCAATGACTGATGAAATTGTACAACGTTATTTTGATCCACAACAAAATCATCATTTACGAAAAGAAACATCTGCATCAAATCGATCGGTAAATAAAATAGCTCATTATTCTTTATAGAAAATTAAAACAAATTTAATATTCTATTAGACTCGAAAAGCATTAAATAAATCAACGACAACATCAAATCGTTCTAAAATACAACAATCAACTTCGAAATCAGCGACAAAGTAAATTTGATAATATATTTTATACATGAGTATTTCTTGTTTGTGTCCTAGATCTTCACAAACTAAAATACGACCAATTGCTTCATCTATCGTTATTGGTTCCAAGCGTCCACTTTCACAAATAAATCAATCCAATGAATCGACTACAACTGTTATTTCATCGTCGTCAATAACAGTAACAAAGAATATCGAAAAACATCAAATACAACAATCACCTATCGAAATGATTGTTATCGATGAGAGCCAAAATGATAATCAAGAAATAAATACAGTACTGGAATCTACTGATAATGATAAATCAATTAATCCATGGACACCAATAACGGATGAAATTGATACAGCTCTTGAACGAGTATTAGATCAAGTTGAAGCAACTGTTGATAGTCCACTTGAATTTACACCTACAACAGTTCGACGAACTGAAACAGAAATAATGGCAGCTCGTTTACCAAAAATTCCACTTAAAGAAGGACGATTTCGGAATGGTAAACCAATTCTTAATCGTTCAACAAGCAGTGCAGCTAATGAATATCGTCCGTTAGCAGCTACTCGATCACTTCCTTTAACATCAACTATTTTTAATACTAAGTAAATTATATTACTAACATTTTTTCTTTCAAATTAATTCTTTCGATTTATTTATCAGTGTTCGTTCGCCATCAACAACGAATAATGTCGAACAAGACACATCACATCAAAACCTGAATAATTCTGAAAATACACCTATTGATCATAATAATATTTCAACAACGGCACAAGCTGATGAAAGTAGATATGAATTATAATTTATTTTAACAAATTTTTTGTATTTTATTTTCTTAGCTGTTAATTTTGATACCAATGAAAATTCTAATACAGAAATTGAAATAAATCTATCAAATGAAACTCAAAATATTACTTCAGTAACTCCAAAAGAAACAATTACACCATCAAGACTTTCTTTTCGTCTGAATCCCGATGGATCACGAGTTGGTATATCACGACCACCACTACCTACAAATCGTCAATCACCATCAATAAGCTTTTTACGTCGAGTAAGAAAATCAATTTTCATTCTCTATTATTTCATTAATATATATTTCTAGACATCAACGGATGTGACACCTATTCAACCGAATACCAAACAAGTGTAAATATTTTAACTCTTATATTTCATATGTAAAGTCTATGTTTTGTTAACTACGATATATAAATAGGATAGGATAAGAAATTGTTTTCAACACTTTATTTTTATTCTGCAACGTTAAAAAAAGTCTTTTCGATAACCAATTTGATCCCAGAAATCACAATCATCTTTCAAATAATTTTCTCGTATTTGTAATGGATCTTGAAAATACATATATGTCTCACTAATATTCATTATTTTTGGCCATGTAATCGGTACATGTAAAGGTTCATTTGGATTTTGAGTTTTAGCAAAATTTGTCCAATAACTTGCTATACTTTGTGAAACACGTCGAGCAGCATCAGTAAAATTATTCCATCTTGATTCAAATAAATATGGTAATTCATCACCATGACATACATGTTCATTACAATATGCATCATTTTGTTTACGATTAAAATTTAAAGGATAACCAAATACATAAGAATAGGAAGCAGCATGTCGAGTAAATATACGTGTTGGACAAGCAAATACCCATTGAGTTGCTATTTGTGATAAAAGTAATCGTTGATCTCCTGTACCGACAGGTGGAAAACGTTCGAGAACTTTGAAAGATTTTTTTCGAAAGAAAACAAGAGTAATTTCAGTATAAAGTATAGGTGAAATTGGTTTATCCCATTGATGATAAATAAAAAATAAACCTTCATCATTAACTGTACCTGTAATAAGAGGTTTTAAAGGAAATGATACATTTCGAACAGTTTCATAAAGTTGACCATGAACAAGAATATTATCAATGACAGGTACCCATGGTTCAAAAAATAATAAAACTTCTAGTGAAGTAATCTTTGTATTAACTATTTTTTGAGCAATAGTTATATTATTAACAGAAGCAGCACGAAAACAAACAATATCATTATAATTACAATGAAGTTGTTCAGCTAAAAGTATACCAGGTGTTAAATATTCTGCATAAGTTCTAAGTAAATAATAGAAATATTAAATTTTGAAGACATTTTTATTTCTATACCTAAATGGTATTGCCATAGGTGCACTTTGTATAATAACCTGTTGAAAAAATGATTGCATATCACTTGTTAGATAATGTAATGCAGCAGACTGTGCACCAGCACTTTCACCAAATAATGTAATCTAAAAAACAAGTATATTTATCGTATATATATATTCTATTATTCATTAAACCTGATTTGGATCTCCTCCAAATACATCAATATTTGCTTTGATCCATGCAATAGCTAAACGTTGATCGAGTATACCATAATTACCTTTTAGATCATTTGGACCTGTTCCAGTTGCAAAAAAACCAAGCACACCTTTCAAAAAAATATATTTATGATAAGAAAAGATGAGTCATTGAACTTACCAAGTCGATATTGAATAAATACAATAATGACATTCGTTGTATTGACTGAATGTTCAGAATTATAACTTGGTAAAGATGCATCAAGATATTGAAATTCGCCACCAGGAATAAAAATCATAACAGGTAGAGGAGATGCGTGTGACTGTTGTGTTGATAAAGGAGTAAAAATATTCAAATAAAGACAATCTTCAGAAAACTATTTATTTCACGAAAAAAATTATTATTCTTATGTAGAAAAAAAATACTTTACATATGGTGGACAAGAAGGAGAAGCTGGATTACATGGTGGTTGAGGACAAGCAGGTGCTCGTATAGTAGCATTAATTACTTTGGGAGACCATTCTGTAATAGGTACCGGTGGATTCCATCTAAATGTATTTTTTTTATGCATAATAAACTCAAGAAATGAAACTCTATAACTACCTTAATTTTTCAACAGGTGGTTGAGCAAATGGAATACCATAAAAAACTCGAGCTAAATCCGTCTTATATCCAAGAATGTCACCATATGAAGTATGAACAATAGTTGGTTCATTACCATATCCATTTTGTATAGAATAAGCTAGAATAACAAATATTAACATCTTTTCACTGTGAGTATCTTTGTACTTTTGAAGAAAAATATGCTTATAATGTTTACTTGTTTTTTCTATTGATAAGAAAATAAAGAAGAGTTTATATAGGACAAAACTTATCTGACTATCATTACAACAACCACAGAAATATTCTTTTTTTTTTAATGATGAAAAAACCCGTTGACTTCTAAGATACATTTATTAATTTATGAATCATCATTCGATATTTTCTTAACATAACAAAACATATCATGCATATTAACCAATGAAATGAAAATGTTCTTCATCCTTCCGAATATTAAAATAATCAATAGAGATTGATTTCATAGTTGAAACAGTTATTTTAGTTCAAAGGAACTGATAAATCAATTTATTTTATAAGAAAAAAAATAGATTCGGCTGTACAGAAAAAAAAAGACAAGAAGTTATTTTAAATAAAAAGTGGATTTTCTTCAATTGGAGTTAAACGTCGAAGAGTGAAACGTTTAGAAGATGGAACAGCTGAATGTCGACGTTTATGTTGATGACGTTGATCTTTATCTTTTTTATTATAAAGAAGACGTTTAAGTGAAATCATATTATTTGTTGGTACAGGTGATAAAATTGTATGACATTTACTACGTCTCGGTGTTGATGTATGATAAGGTTTAAGTAGAATTTTTTTTTCTTGTGGAGAACTTTTTGGTGTACTAGTTGCTCGTGCCGATAAATCAAATGAAAATTTCGATTTCTTTCGATTTTCATTGTTTGTTGTTGAATGTAATGTAGCTCGTTTTCGTTTCGATGAAAAGTATGGACAATAATCGTCTTCATGTGATATTGTTGTTAATTGTGAATTGATTGAAATTTCTAATGGTCGAATATTATTATCTGATTCAATCATACGTAATTCCGATAATAATTGATTAATGTGATATTTTAGTTGACGTGCTCGTTGATGATCATTTGACATTACTTTTTCTTTTCTTTCATTCATTTTATTATGCCGTAAATAAGGTTCACAATTGTTTGACATTACTAATGGTAATAATAATGGTGTATCATTCATCTATAAAAAAAAATCAAAGACTTTTTTTCTCTTCTTATCCGTTAGTTTTAAATCTGATCTCTATATCCATTAGATTACATATCGATAGTTTTCAATGACACTATGTCTGTTATTATGATTACACGGAAAAAAAACGAAAGATGAGACTAGAAGAAAATCGCACAGTTGGGTCCTATCTTCAAACAGTTCGGCAAAAGGCGCATCACATGGCGCCAGGTGATGATGTACTGTACTTGTCATTGGCAGTTGACAAGACTACATAGGAGGTCTAGTCTATCAACATATATACACATGTCGATTCCATGCAGAGAACAAGCATGGTTGATTAAAATGATAGAAATAAAGCCGATCATTTAACGTAGAACTATTTTCATAGAATAAGTCTTTATATTTAGAAAAAATACTTACACTGGTAAATTTTCAAGTTGCTTGTATCGGAATATGTCGTATATGTTTGTTGAAAAGTTTAATTGATTGTATTTAAAGAGTAAGAAAAAGATATGTTCTTTTCTTTTTCTCTGTTCATTCATTGGTTTATTGTATTTCACATAGAACGAAAAAATATCGCTATTGGCTATGAACCGAAACGAAAAACAAATCTTTTCCGTTCTATGATCATCGTCGAAGCGTGTAAGAACAGCAGCATCATTTCGCACATTATAGTCCCCTTATTAGGATAGACAGTGTTGCCGAGTTTGTTTGATCGGTATACAGTACAGCTCAATCCCCTAGGCTCAGTAAACATACGAACGATCAAACATAGAAAATTTATCTTTGTATCTTATATAGTAAAGAGAAAATATATTCATCATACAAAATAATCATTTAAATAAATAGAAATCTATAATTAATTAATTTTGTTATAAAGTTTTCAAAAGCAAAGATGAACAATATTCTATATAAATAAACATGAGAATCGATGAATTCTAAAGTGTATCTTGAACATTTCTTTGAATATTACATGGTGTAAGCTACTATGTTATAATATTTGATAAGAGCGTATGTTACGCATAAAACTTTGCCTTTTTGACACTTTACTTGTTATTTTTGTTGCTAACGCGCTATTGACATTCTCGAAACAGATGTGCTTTTCACAACGTCTCTCTCTCTCCACCCACTCAAATGATGATGGTGTAATTGATACGTATATTTACAGGTATGTTGACAATATGCCACGAGCACTCCACTCTTATTAATGATGATGATGATGAATAATCGATCATATATTATTATTATTATTTTTATGTAATATCTTCATAGTCGTCTTAGACATCTGTTCATGTCTAGTCTAAACACTATAAAAATAAGTAACGTTTTTGACACGTGTATGGTAAAGACGATTGAAAATCAAATCAAGCTGTGATTATGCCACAACTACTAGAGCGGTAAGCATCACAGTTATTTTCCGCTTCAAATAAGAAAAAAAAGAGTAACGTTCGCTTGTCAAGTCAATACACTTCTATGATGAGTAGAGATGCCTTAAGGCACATTTTCAGAAAGAAAAAATAACGACATGAAATAACTAACAAACGCTAATAACACATAATATTGAATATTATGTACAAAACTATTCATTCATATCTTCAATCGCCCATCACACTTATCCATCGAAATATATATCTATCTATTTTGAAATATAATACAATGAAAACAAGAAAGATGAAAGTTTTTTCATCTTGCTGTGCAGCGAAAAAACGAAATTCTAATGAGCAGTTCATTAAAAATATTGCTGTTCATCAAACAAATTCAAGCGCCTTTGCACTTCGTCATATTATGATGACAATAAATGCAAATTAAAATAATTTAACATACAATCAATTTGATTGATTGGTATCGATCAAAAAACTAATAATAACAATCGAACCATGAATAGAAGAATTGTTGTGCGCGCCAACCAAAAAAAATAGTTTTTTTCATCATATTCTAAAATTAATATTATGCTTTTAACGATACTTGCTCGAATGTCAAATGATGAACAACGTTTACAATTATTACAAACACTTCGAAATAAATTATCTAATTATAATCTTGATTGGTTAGATATACGAAATATTCTTAATTTATTTTCTGAGAAAAATCAAATACGTTTTAAGATTTTACAATTGATTCTTTTATATAAAAAGAATTTTATAAATAAACTTTCGATTAATGATTATATTGATCTATCTAATCAATGTACAAATAATAATGAACAATTAAAAATTCAATTATTTGAACAAATTTATGAGAAATTAAATATTCAGAATAAAAATGATGTAGAGAATATTATTAATTTATTTCATACAGTAAATATAAAACAAAAAATAGAAGCTATGATTCGATTTGAAGATAAATACGAAGGTATATATTGAATTGAATTTTGATCTATAACGATGATTTCATCTATTAGAAATTAATGGTCTATCTACTTTACATCCAGAAGAAATTATGGTGAATAATATTCTTTCACCAACAATGTCATCGATTGAAGAATTATCTCTTGCACCATTGAAACGTAAACATTCATTTGATAATGAATATCAAGATCAATCATGTCATCAAATAATTACACCATTATTAATTCAACAGCAAGATGAATTTATTCAACAACAAGATTTACTAACATCAATTTCTATTAGTTCATCAAATTCGTCATTTTCATCGTCGTCAGCAAGTGATGAAAATATACCTATACGTACACGTTCATTCATGATTGCTATTAAGAATACATTTGAACGTTTAAAAGAAACATCAAGTTGATAGAATCTTTTATTTTTTTTTGCCTTGAACAAGTTGCTGCCCGCCCATGATGATCAAAAAGTTGATGCGCGTTCAACTCAACTAATCGATTTGTTCTCTTCTCATCATCATCATCTATCGATATGAATGAGCTAGTGTGTGTGTGTATTTTTCTAACTGTTCGTCTATACTTTCTTGAGTATAGGCCACTTATGCTGGATGCCACTTAACGGTTTTTCTCAGTTCACTTAAAGATGACGACAAAAAGTGACTTGCAATAAGTGTTTATTCATGTGATCATGAGAGAGAATCTATTTTTTATTTTAGAAAAATGACGATAAGTCCTATATTAATTAATCATTAAGCATATTTCAATTATTATCTAAATAGTCGATCTATTTGTTTAAAGAAACTATCCATTGAGCACGTATCGAAGAAAGATGAGTCAAATAAGATAAAATAAATATTTTATTGAACCAGATGACAAAAATGTCAAATAAACGAGATGTAAATATTGTGATTACAGATTTTATACAACAAAACTATATGATTTATTTTATTTTTTAAATTGATAATCAGCACTAAGATGAACAAGGCAGTGGCGGAGCTAGGATTTTGGCTAAAAGCTATTTTTTGAGTCCAATCGAAGTAGTGTGAACCTATTTTTCCGTTCATTTTTGCTGTAAAAAATAAAAAAAAAATTCGGAAGGGGGGAGGGCGATGGGGATGATCGCCCCCTCCTCCCTAAATCCGCCACTGAAACAAGGCCTGGTTTTAAATGAAGAATAGAAAAATTTCAGATTTCGGGTATAATATACGAGTATAGCTCATTTTCTCTTATTGATAGATGTCGCTTGTTTTCGACAATAGTTTTATATTAATTTAAATTAAATAAATGAACAAAAAGAATGTAATTATTCGAAAGAAAATTAATTATGGTGAAAAATTTAATAAAATTCCAATACGTTTCTTTCAAATTTTCATTAATCAAAGGAAATTCCCTGTTAGTGGTTCTATGATTCATCAAATCAAATAAATGCATGTTCATTTATTTCATTTTTTTATTTTTCGGCGGGTTTAAGTTTAAAGAAAAACTTTTCTGAACTATTTCCTATATCAAAATTTACTTAGATTGTTTGTATAATACTGCCTATTATCAATGGCAACAACTTCGAATGAAACAGTATCGGTTTTACCGACTATAACTTCAAATAATAGTAGTCCACCTCAACAAATATCACGTGCAAATGGAGCAACGATTATATCCATTCCAACAGCATCAGGTATATTATTTCTATATTATAATAAATTACAATTTTTATTTTTCTAGCTGATGCTATTGCTTCATTTTCATGGGGTAATTATTTAAAAGAGACGAATGCACATGGTGCACCGGTTAATTGTTTTCGTCATGTGGGTTTTTATTCTATTGAATAGATATTTTTTCAAAAATTGTTTTGAATTATATAGGCACCCTTACAAGATATGTGGGGACAATTGACACCTGGTATGAAAGTTGAAGTTATTAATACCGATTGTTCTTATAATTTGAATGATCCAAAAGAAAAAATTTTTTGGTTTGCTTATATCGTTCGTGTTGAAGGATATTTAGCTTTATTACGTTATGAAGGTTGTGATGATGATAGTTCAATGGATTTTTGGTGTAATCTATGTAATAAAGATGTTCATTGTGTTGGTTGGTGTGGACAACATGGTGTTAAATTAGCACCACCAAGAAGTTCGTATTTCCTAGAGAAAAGATTTGATTTCTATTTGAAAATCTACTTTTTTTGGTATTCAGGTATTGAACATCGACAAACCGATTGGAAAACATTTCTTGTTAATAAATTAGTTGGTGCAAAAACATTACCCGATAGTTTTCGTCCTAAAGTAAAATTTTTGATTTTTATTATTTTATTTTTTCAATAAATTCCCCATTTTATATAGATTCAATCATCACTTCGTTGTCCATTTAAAAAATATATGCTTTTAGAAGTTATTGATAAATTTCAAGTAGCACATATGTGTGTTGGAAAAATATCTGAAGTGGTATAAAAAAACCCAAATTTGTTTTCTTACATTAATTTTCTTATTATAGATTGGTGGTCGTTTACGAATTAATTATGAAAATGTAGGAAGAAATATTTCTTTAAAAATCTATTACAAAAATTTCGTATTTTAGAAACCGGGTGAACATTTTTGGGTTCATCATACGTCTGAATTAATACATCCAGTTGGTTGGTCTTATGCTGTTGGACATAAAATTGAAGCTACTGATGAATATGAAAATGAAGCAATGAAAATAAATGAAACAAATTCATATCCGGCATATATTGCTACACCTGATCTTTTTCGTAACGTAAGAAAAAAGAAATTATTTTGAAAAAAAATTGTTTTTTTTTGTCGTTCTTTAGGTTCCAGTGAATTTACCAGATGATGAACAATTTAAGGAAGGACAAAAATTAGAAGCAGTTGATCCATTAGAAATGTCTCGTATTTGTCCAGCTACAGTTGGAAAAGTAAGATTGAATCTCTAAAATAATGTTAGTATACTATTTTTGTTTCTAGGTATTAAAAAATGGTTATTTTATGTTATCAATTGATGGATCAAGTGCTGAAGATGGTTCCGATTGGTTTTGTTATCATTCAAGTTCACGTCTTATATTTCCAATAAATTTTTGTAAAACAAATAAAATTCCATTATCACCACCACTTGGTTGCATATTTCATATTTTTAATTCTTCATTTTTTTGTAATATTTCAATTCTTTTCTAGGTTATCAAGGTGAATTTGAATGGGAAAAATATTTACTTGAAACGAATTCTGTTTATGCACCACAAGAACTCTTTCAAGTTATCAAAGTAATTAATAAAAGAAAAAAGATAGTTCAATCTTTCATATTTTAATTCTGAAGGAAAAAACAATAAATCCATTTACAATTGGAATGAAAATTGAAGCCGTTGATATGATGGCACCACATTTAGTATGCGTTGCAGCAATAGCAAAGGTCGCCGACAATCTAATTCGTGTTCGATTTGATGGATGGGGTGATGATTTTGAACAATGGGTTGATTGTCAATCAATGAATATTTATCCGATTGGATGGTCTGAACTTGTGGGTTATAAACTTGAACCACCAAGACAAACTGAACAGGAAAATACCGGTATATTATATAGAAAATTTATAATGAAATATATTTATTTTATATTAGAATTAGTAAAACAACGACCTTGGAAAAAATCATCGACTCGAAAAACGAATAAACGAAAACGACTTACTTAAAAAAATATTTAATCAAATTATAAGTAAATACAAAAATATAGAAAAATAAAGATTTTGTTTTTTCTTGATTTTAGTTTTTAATCACATATGCACATACATACAAACAATGATAATACAATCGGCGTAATGCATTTTTTTGTTCCTTTTGAAAAACGCGCACATACATTTTTTTCTAAAGCAATGTGTACATAAACTAATGACCTATTGTAAATGGTATAACGAAGAAGAAAATAGACATTGTCTTTCATTTATTTTGATTGCATATTTGTATGTATATGCATATATATGTTTATTAACAAACAAATAGAAGTCTTTAGAATACGTCTATTTCTTCCTAGGTTTTTTGTTCTTTTCGTTTTGTTTTGTTTTGGATCCTTTGTTTCATATTGAAAACAGGTGCTTTCTTCTCCTCTGCTTTTTTTGTTTGTGTTTCGTTATTATTCATTTTTCATACTGTGATGTACTTAAAGCGAGTATGTACTTGTGTGCGTGATTCAAACTAGAGATTATACTAGATAACCAATTGTCCAGTTATTGACTTTTTTTTCTTTTTTTGTTAATTATATCTTTGTCTTCTTTTTCGTGTTCTCGCTATTGAACAGTTAACAATGATATTAAAGAAAAACCAAGCATTATTTATTCATTCTCATCTCTATATATCTATGAAAGTTTAAGGCATGAAAACAGCTAAATTAACTTGTATATTGTAATTGATATCATTAAAAAACATATAATCATATTTCAGTTACTAGTGACATCCAGTCCAGATGTCAATCATTTAATTTGTATGATTCGTTAAAGAACAATACCTGTAAAATAACGGTATGTCAGAGAAAAACCTTGCGTCAATATTGTGCAATACCTGTTGACAAGAAATGCAAACCACAAATACGAACACGACTCATTTTCTCTACTTCATCAGTGTAGAAAAAGAAAGAACAGTATATTATTTTTTCAGTTAACTTTTATTGACCTTGACAGTTTTATTTTGTTAAAAAATGGTATCGAGCTCAGGAAAAAAAGCACGCATATCGCGTTCATCTCGTGCAGGATTGATTTTTCCAGTTACTCGTATGCATCGTTATCTTAAAGCTGCTCCAACAGCTACCGCTCGAGTAACGAAAGGTGCCGCTGTTTATTTAGCAGCTGTAGCTGAATATCTTGTTGGTAAGTATATTGAACATTTTGATTAGAATAAATTACAAGATATATATAAATTTTACATACAGCTGAAGTACTTGAATTAAGTGGTAATGCTGCAAGAGATAATCAACGTAGTCGAATTATTCCAAGACATATGTTACTTGCTGTATCTATGGATTTAGAACTTAATAATGTAAAATAGAATGGATAAATAAATGAAAATTCATAAGTTAGATTTATTCTTGTTTAGTTACTTCGAGGTTGTATGATTCCTCAAGGTGGCGTTCTTCCGTCCATTCTTCCAGCACTTTTATCTAAAGGTACTGGTGACGGACCAAGCCAATCATCAACAAACTCGTCACCAAAGGTTTCAGTAGCAAAGAAAACAAAAGGTGCAACAACTGTAAAAGCTCCTGCACGTAAACCAGCATTAACTAAGACTGGTCTAGGAAGTTTTACAGTATTTAGTGCACCTAAATCAAAGGTAAAAACGATCACTATATAAATAAACAATTTAATATATTGCATTTTAGGCAGTTGCACTTAAAGGTACTGCAGTAACAACATTATCTGAACGTGTTCTTAATCGAGGACAAAAGGCATGTTACACGAACGAAATTAAATTTGTTTTTTAAAACATAAGAGATTTATTCTAGTTGACTGTGGTTCAAGGAAGTATAGTAAATATTAAAGCTGATGCTATTGTTCATCCAACTAGTACTTCACTTAACATGGGTGGTGAAGTTGGTTAGTAATTTCATTCTATATTTTATAATCTACATATTTTTCCTTTCATATCAAATCTAGGTCATGCTTTAGCTAAAGCAGGAGGAAAAGAATTACGCGATGCATTATTAGAAGCAGGAAAAACGAAATCATTGACAAGTGTTGCAGATGGTAAATGCATACTGACGAAATTTTGATTTATTTTTATATTTTTTATATTTTTTAGTGGTTATAACCGATGCACCTAATTTATCTGCTTCACATTTAATTCATGTTAATTCACCAACATGGAATGCTGGTACACAAGCAGAATGTATTAATGATCTTGATAAAGCAACGACAAATATTCTTACATTAGCTGACAAAGAAGGTCTTACATCAGTAGCAATACCAAGTATTAGTAGTGGAAAGTACGTAGAATTATTTTTGAAAAATTCTTAAATAATATATCTACTCGGGTATGTAGTGCTGGATTTCCAAAACAAACAGCTGCTCAAACAATTCTTGCAGCTTTATCAAAATATTTTCGACAAACAGCAACAACAAATCTTCAACAAGTATTTTTTGTTTTATACGATGCTGAAAGTGTGAATGTTTATACAACTGAACTTCAACGTATGGTTGAATAGATATCAAAAATTTATTTTCTTATAAAACTATGATTTATGTTACTTATCCGCCCATTTCTAATTGCGTTTTGCTTATTTTTTTTGTTGTATAAATATTGTGATTTGCTTTCGCTTTAATCAGAAATAAAATTAAACTCGAAAAAAATTTACCAAAAAAAAAAGAATTATAATTTTTTTAGAACTAAAAATATTTATTAAATGACACAAAAAGAATCAAATACAATTAATCTTGAAGATACATTTTTTCTCTATGGCCGTTCATCTAAATACAAATATCTTCTTAAACTGTCACCAACCACTCTTACAATTACAACAGTATCAAATGAAAATGAGAGTCGATCTTTACCATTAAATAATGTAAAAATCATTCCAATTGATGATATTTATGGTTGTTTATGTATGAAACCACTTATAAATTCCAAACAATGTTATTTAACATTTTATCAATATGTTTTAAGACCACCGCAAGGTTTTAGTGGAATATTTTCGAAAAAACCACTTTTACATCGATCACAACATATATTTAGCTATGGAAAATATAATGATTATGATACAAATCATGCTGAAGTGATTCGTTGGCATCGTCATATAGTACAGGCAATTTATTTACGACGAAATCTTCCTCGTAAGTTCGAAAAAATTTCATAAGACTAAAAAAAACAAGAACGAATGTATTTTTTTTCGATATAGTTGATATTGTACTAACAAAACGTGATAAACGTGCACTTGTATTTGTTAATCCAGCTGGTGGTGCTGGTAAAGCATATCGTCTTGTTATGGAAAATGTTGTTGGTGTTTGGAGTGAAGCTGAATTTAGTTATCAAATAGTCATAACAGGTTTTACAAGAATATTTCAAATGAAAATTTGTAGTTTTCTTTTTTTGTATAGAATATGCTGGTCATGCTCGAGATTATGTACAATCATTAGATTTAAGTGAATGGAGTGGTATTGTAATTGCTTCCGGTGATGGACTTGTTTATGAAGTCGTGAATGGACTTTTTAGTAGAAATGATTGGCAAGAAGCGGTAAAAATGCCTATTGGACATTTACCATGTGGTTCAGGTAATGCATTTGCTGCAAGTATTATTCGTCATAGCAAGTAAGCTAGTTTATTGTATGTTATATTTTTTTTGTTAAACTCGAAATAATATAAATAGACAACCAATTGCAGAATCTATGGAAAAATTTGTTGTTCAATCTGCTATACTTATAGCTACACATCAAGTGCTGCCATATGATATGGCTGTTATTGATACATGTGATGGACAACGAGTTTTTTCTTTTCTCAGTGTCGAATGGGCTGTTATTGCTGATGTTGATTGTGATAGTGAAAAATATCGTTTTCTTGGTTAGAAATTAACAAAAAAATTATTACAAATAATATCTTTCTGTTATAATTATTTAGGTGGAACTCGATTTACAGTCGAAGCTGTCAAACGAATTCTACGTAAGTCTTATTCTTCATTATATAAACTCCGGATCACATTCTATTGACTTTTGTTTCTTTAAAATAACCTTCATAGATAATCTAATCTTTTGTCTCTCTTCTTTTTTATTTCTATTACATTAGATAAAAATATTCGTACATCAACATTTTATAAAAACCTATTCCAAGTAAAACGGAGATATAATATTTTGTAGAAAACTTAACTTCTTACGCTTTATTCGTTACTACCATTCTTTTTCTTTCATTAATCATGTAGAATAAATTTAGAAAATATATTTCAATATATTTATTTTAGGACCACGAATTTATACGGGTTATATCGATTATCTTCCATATGATGTTACTGATGATACTGTTCAAAGAAATCAAATAACATCCGATACAACAACGGCTCAACTTCATCATCATCTATTACCACTCAATGAACCTATATCAGTTGATCCGGCAACGAGTAAATGGCGTCGTATTGAAGGTCCATTTTCTTATGTACTTATTACATCAAAATCTGCTTTATCACAAGATACTGTATCAACTCCACAATCAACATTAGCTGATGGTTATTTAACATTACAATTTATACGTATACGTGGTTCAACACGTTTGAATTTAGCTAAAACATTGTTAAGTTTATCCGATGGAAAACATTTTGAATATGATTTTGTTGAATGGATGCCTGTACGTGCATTTCGTATAGTACCAGCTGCAACAGATGGAAATCTTATGATTGATGGTGAAAAAGTTCCTTATGGTAAAATAAAATTAGAATTTATATAGAAAACAAAAGTATAATTGCATCTCTCTTTTAGGTCCTTTACAAGGTGAAGTTCTACCAAGTATTGGTCGATGTATGGGTAAACAACCTAGAGTGGATTAAAACAGTTGTTTTCTAAGTAATTCAGATAGAATATTTCCTTGGCAATTATAATTCGTTGTGATTAATTTTATCTATATACTAAATAATAATATTTTCTAGTATCTATGTCTTTCATTTTGATTTTATTAATTTGTAATCAAGCAATATTCATGAATAAAAAATTACATCAACATTTTGATCAGTATTTGAAATAGATCGTTCTTATTTAAATGCATAAATCTACTCGAATGGGGAGATAAATATCTTCAAAATTTAATTTCAATTGATGACTAGTAATTTGCCATTGATTATCACGATTATCAGTAATACAAAGTATATTTGAATTGATATCAGAAGTAATAAAATTCATGGATGTTTGATCAATAATATAATCAAATGGATATGTTCCATGAACGAGAATATTTCGTAAACGAATACTTTTTGTTGATGGTGTTATACTACCAGGTAAAGGATTGAATAAAAGACCTTTTTTATCATATCGAAGACCAGCATAACCCATCATAACTGCTTGAATAAATCCACCATCACCAGTAAGAAAATGTGAACTATAAATAAAATAATAAATATAGAAATCTTTTCTGAACAGAAATTTACTTGAATCCATGTCCTCCAATAATATCTGGATGAATATCAACCTATATGTATATAATTTTCAAATAAATTAATTCAAAAAAAACAAAACAAACCTCATTTCGAACATGAAATTCACCATATGTACAAGCTTGTAAGGATCGATTAAATTCACCTTCAGCTTTCAATGTTTCATTTAACATAAGCCATATAATAGCATGTATAGGTCCAGTCATACCAGCATTTTCTTCACATGTTATTGGAATAAATGTTTCAGCATCATTTCGTATGATTTCTGGTGTTACATTAAAATTCATTGGATAAGTTAAGAATAGAACATCTATGAAAAAATAATAATTAGAAAGAAAAAGAGTACTAAGTTTACCTTCAGGACACACATATGTATGTGGGGATGATGGAGGTACAGCTAAAAAGAAAAAATCAAACAGTTATATGAATATTTATTTTAATTGTTTTATCTAGCGGGTGGGCGCCGTCCGCCCTAAATTTCGATTTGTCCATCTGAAAAATGGAGCCTAGATAAAACACTGATTTATTTACCATTATCCCATTGAATATGTGTTTGAGTTGTAGCATTAAAATTTATTTTTAATTTTTTTGCTGTTTGAATCCATTCTGGATCAACATCAAATCCAAACATATTTCCAACTTCAGTTGCAAATATTAATGATACCACAGCAACTGCATTCGTTTGTATTGCATTATTAACACCAATATCACCACATTTTGATTGTGTATTATCACACCATTCATCAACAGGCATTATTCCATTGATGGAATATGTTATATTATCTGTTTTTGTTGTTCGACTTGACCAAAATCGAGCAATATCACGTAAAAGTGGCCAACCAATATTTTCTAACCAAACACGATCTCGTGTAGCATAATAATACATTTGTACAGCAACTGCTACATCACCAGTTACATGTTGTTCTATACAGTTTTCCCAACCACCTTTTCCATCGCAACAACCCTACATTTATATACGAATTATTTTACAGATATTCATCTTTACTTACTTGTGGTCGACCAAAATATGATCTAGAAAAATGTAATATATTATCTAACAGTTCATAGATATATGCTGAATACATACGCAGTCCATGCAAACATTGATCCATTATAGCCAAAGATTTTTGCAATATTATTTGATTCTTCTAAACTATTATATCGAAAACGAATTATATTAGCGGCAAGTGATGGATGAAAAGGTAGAAGAGCAGGCATCATATACCTTAATAATAAAAGAAGACAAACAATAAAATAAAATAAATTTATTTATTTACCAATCCATATCCATAAATATCACACCTGAATAGGATTGTGAAGCTAAACCACCTGGACTAATACCATATCTAAAGAATATAATTTTATTAATATTTTATTTTAAATTTATATACATACGGCCAATCATCTCGTGAACTAGTTAATAAATAATACAATGAACTATTTATATGTTGAGCAATATCAAGTGCTCGAGAAAATGTTCTTATAATTGTATTATTATTTGTATCCAAAAAAATTCTTGATGATACAAATGATTGATCTTCTATTGGTTCTATATCAATACCAGATTTCCATAGATTTTGCCATGCATGAACATGTTCAATAAATAAATAATTTCGTTTAGTTAATGCTTCATCAAAACGATTAATAGCTTCTAATGTTACTGTTTTTTGATCAATAGAATCAATTCCGAAATCAATACTACTAGCAAGAGTAGAAATTAATTGTAATGATGATGATGATGATATTGTAATTATTTCATTTGGTTGTTGAGTACAAATAGTTATATAAAGTGATCGATTATGATCATCTTGACTTAATAAAATACCTTCATAAACATTCATTGATGATGTTGATAAATTTGAATTGAAAGTAAATTTAATATCAATTTCAACACCACTACCACCTGTGCAAGTTGTTTCCGTATTATGTGTTTGATTAAGTGGATCAAAAGTGGATGAAAATGAAAATGTTACATTTTTCGATGCCGATGAAACAACAGAAAATTCAAGTACCATTACACTTTTAAGCTAAAATAGATTTACACATAGTCTAAAAAGAAACACCTAGGTCATGTTCATCAACATATCGATGTTCTGCTCTCAGTTTTTTTAATGCTTGAATAATTTTTTTATGTCATTGTGTTTCAATAATAGAATCGATGACACAGATAAAAACCTTGACAAAATTGTAGGAGCGAGAAAACAATACTTTGTCTGGGACATTTATATCTAAATTACTTCCACATACTTAATCATAAGATTATTAACATGAGAATTTGATATTTTTAACAGATAATTGTTTCTTCTGTCTCTCTTAAGAAATTCTTTTTTGGTTATCTTGACCCAAATTTCTCTCGATATAGTAGATTCATATTAGTAATGAAAACCAAAAACCTTCGATTAGTGAAATTTCTTATTATCTTAAGATTCCTATCTATACATTCTTTCTAATTCATACACTACTCAAGGCGACAGATGGATTCGCTTTGAACATATCCATATTTTCTTAATCCTTCTAATACCATGTATAGACATTTCTGCCCATGAGTAACAAAATTCAACTAATCGACATCAAATACATTCTTGTCATCAAAGGTTATATTAGAGTATGATTTATCTATTATGTCGTAGACATCATACACATATATATATTCTTTCATCTTTGGTATATGATTATTTTCTAGTCCTTTCGGAACTTTCCTAGCTTAGCTGTGTAAATCCTATGTGACGAGAATCCTAATATATCAGATTAATTAGAATATAAATAATAAAGTTGAGTAGAGCTGAATTTTTTATGATTTCTATATATGGACAAAAAAATTCCTTGCGTGATATCAGAAGAGTTAATATATCAAAAAATATTCTTACATTTCGACTAATAAAAACTCGATGTTCTACAATACTATCATCAAGTTTGTATCGACGTGTAAATGTCGCTTTTTCAAAATGAAGACCACTTGCAATCAATTGCCCAGATGTTATTGAACCACCAATTGGTGATGGTATTCTTGCTTTTCCTATATTTCCACACTACAATAAATAAATATTAATTAAAAATCCTTGTATTTTTTTACTTTGCCAATAAATAGTCCACTTTGAAATAATGATGCTGACATAACAACTGTACCAATATAACCATTACCAATTGCAGGTAGAAAACAAAAATGTGGTTCGGGATTAGCAAATAAAAGTTTTCCTCTATCAACATCATCTTGCCAATCATTGGGTGGTAAGAAACCTTTACGTATGTATAAATCAACATTTTGTGTAACATCATAACAACAACCAGCATCACAACCTGATGTACATGATTTTAATAAACCATTCGTATTAAATCCTTGACATGAAGGATTGGAATTACAATGAGCAGCTAATACTTCTATATCACATTTTTTTTCATAACCTAAATAAATAATTATGAATTGAAATTAATGTGAAATTGATTTCAACCTTCACCACATTCAAAATAAGCTATATCATGACCGACTGCATCAGTTTTTGACATTTTCAAATAATGATTCAACGAAGCAAAACATCCGTTACTAATTAAAAGTATGAATACCAATAATACCCTCATAATACTTTCTAAATTAATAGAATACAGAAATAAAGTATGTCTTCATTTATAGTTAAAATAAAAATCATTGGCTATAGAAATATATCCATCATAACTTGTTAAAATGAGATGAGAATTTGTTCAGAAATTATTTTTCAAAGTTATTTAAATATGTAGGAGAATTATAAAAATTTCAAATGTGTTATAAAATATGTGAATAGCGTGTGTCACTTTTGTTCAATCAATACGACTTTTACTCGGTGACTTATTGCAAAATAGTTACAATTATAATCTAGGAAAGTATTTTTATTTGAAAATATCATGTCGCTGATTATATTGAATATGAAAAAGAATGGATAGATATTTCCTTTTTTGTAACCTATCATTTTAATTAAAAAAAGTAGTTTTGTACCCACTCATATCTATACTTATAGCCTAATGAAAAATTATATTATATTATTCATTATGTTGACACATGATCAACGTACAAAAAAAACTTTATTTCTAGCCGAAAGCAAATAAAAAAATAGAAGGAAAATCTTTTCTTTTTTTTTTTTCATTGTCATTATTCCAAATAAAATCTGAATAGGTATCGTTTAGATCTATTTTTTTCATTAATAAACATGAATAGAAAGGTGACAAAGACTATTCAAGGTAATGTAGTGAAACTAGTTGTTATAATTATGACAAAGATTAATCAAAATAAGATAAACTAATAATTACAGCCCTTTCGACTTATCCAGGATCTAGTAATTGATGTTTTTCAATGTTGTTTTGATGTTGATTATCAGTTAAAGAGCTTTTACATTTGACTTGTGTAAGTACAAATTGATTTGATATTAAATTCTGATAGAATATGACAAGTGAATAGTATAATTTTGTTAGCTATAGTTTTATTCGACATATTTAGATTAGAAAGTATCGTGAATTACGATTGCGTGTAGATGTTATGAAGTGAATTATAAATGATGATTCATTTATCATAAAAAGAACTTGTATGACAAGAAATGCATTAGATTAAATAGAATAATCTATTAGGTTATCTTGATAGATTCAACCGATAAATATTTTTATCTATACATTCATATAGAATATCTGATTTATATAAAAAATGTTATTTTTGTAATTTGAGTAGTAATTAAGAGCATCCGAAAATATATTATCTTTCCGCAATATTTTTTTTATCAAAAGAGATCATTCAACTCAATGAATACAAAAACAGGCTTGTAAAATAAGCATAGTTTTTTAATCTTCGATCAATAAAAATTTCGATTATTACTCATTTTATGTCATATTTTAATGGATCGTACGGTGTATTAAGTCGAGATGATCTATTATACTTGAATAATTATATAAAATAGCATCATTAAACTAATAGGATAAGTATCACGCGATGTTTACCATTATTAGTGTAAACTCTATATTAAATTTGTAAATACTTTTTATCTTAAACAATAATGTAAAAGGTTCGTATACTAAAGTAAAGGATCAGTGAGTATATTTCCAAAAAAAAAATTATATGCTACAGATGGCCTAATAATTAGTTATTTTCGTAACGTAGAATACATCTATCAGTATGAATTAATGTCAAGTGTTTTATATACTGATATAATATCACGCAATATACTCTACTGATCAGTCTCAACCATATAAATAAGTGCTTGAACCGTAACTATCAGCATTGTGATAAGAAACATGAAAAAAAAGAAAGATGCATCACGAGAAAAATAGAGAAATCTGCTTAACACATTATTTTTGCTATTCTTTTTTTTTCTCTGTTTGCAATATGTCAGTTCTTTTCTTTATTTATGAATGATTTAACAGCCAGAATCACGATGGAAGAAAGAGTTAGTTCCGACATCCTTTGTCTTTTCATCCGTTTTGTTTTGTTTGCATATCGACATATTTATAATATTCTTTTTTTTTTGTTGAGTGTACTTTGTTTTGACGTTGGAGAACACTTAGATAACATTTATTATCGTGGTTTTTATTTTTATGATTATTATATAAAATCTAGATAACTGATATTCATTTGTTATTAATTTGAATAATGCAATTAGAAACGAATGGATTAATTCTAATTTTATTTGGATGTTTTATTCGTACTAGTAAGTTATATATTTCGAAAAAAAAAATAAATCAATATTTTTGTAGGTTTTGAACTTGCATGTATACAATGTACTAGTCCTATTCGACGTGTTGCACAAAATTGGGATCATTCCTGTCTAGATGGTACTCTAGCACCTGAACCATGTGAGCAACCAATTAATGATACTAGAGGAACTTTTATAAATTGTGCATCTGCTCTCTTTAAAGTTGGATTCAATGGTAATCGAGGTAAGAAATTTATTATTTTATTAATCAAAAAAGACAGAGAAATGATTGACATTTATGAATATCCGATATTCTGTGGTAAAAAATTTTCTGCAATCATACATCGAACACTTCCACCACCACATTGTTCAATAGTTGATATATCAAAATAAACTAATTTAGTATTCGTTTCTTCAATCATATTTCGTTGTTGATTAGTTAACGAATCATAAGCTGATTTAGACATAACTAATAAATATTCTCCTTGTTTATTTCGTATTTCAA